CGTGCACGAGCCTCACTCGTGGACGCGGCCTTTGAATTTGTAACGTGGCGTGTGGTCCCTTAATCAGAGCCGTTGATGTCGATGACCTTTGGTCAGATCGAGGGTGTTGGATATTTAATCGGGGTCGGCGTTGTGGCGTGCACATTTTAATCGTGGGTCGTGTGGGATGATAACATAATGGAGGGGGAGGTTGGTCCCATTTGGAGTCTGTGTGAGGACGTGGCACGTGGGTCTCGTGGAAAGTGCATGTTGTTCGGACGCTGGCTTTGCCCAGACGTCCGCTTGATATAAAGCCTGACCAATGAAGCCAGCGAGAACTGACACATCAGCAGAGCTGTATTGGGCTTTACAAATCCACGTAGACAGAGTAAATCCACCTGTATTTTGGGTGTAGTGTAATAAATTGCGTGGATGTAAAGAGTCTGCGATTGTGAACAGTGCACACCACCTCATTTGACCTGTTCATTTTCCTTTGGCCTCAAATTGTACAAGTCTAACGTATTTCATGGACTCAAAATTTGACATAGGTTTCTATATACAAGATTATGAAAAAAAAATTAAATAATTTTAATTTGATCTCTTCCTCAATGATATATTAATACAAATGTTCTTGTTTATAATAACGTGATATCCGTATCGTTTATTGACGCAATTGGATTTCATGACAAACTACTTATAATGATAATTAACATTAATATATATGGTAAAAAGCCTTGAGATGTCATAATTAAATCAAAGCATTTTGATTGGTGAAATTACATATAGAAAGTTCCTATCGATGAATTATTTGTCAATCAACATAAGAAAACGGTGACCATTTCTTGAAAGTAGGCTGCATGCGACTTAAAGGAAGTCGGTCAATACTCTCAAGTTGGCCCCCATGATTGACCATCGAGAAAGACTTTGAACAATCAAAGCTCACATTATGACAACTTATTACAGATAGTTATGAAGCTTAACTGGAAGGCCCATTGCTGGATATGGCATGGGTTCACGTCTTATGGGCTCGTTCTTGATGATTGGTGTCCAAGTATAATTTGTAATGAAACGGTGAATGATGAGCAGCACTTCAACTCTGGCAAATTCTAAGCCGGGGCATATTCTAGGGCCTGCTCCAAATGGAATGTATGTGTATGGGGGATATGATGATTTATTTGAGCTCTCAAACCGCGATGGATCAAACTTGTTTGGATCTTCAAATAAGTTGTGGTCCATGTGTGTAGCAGAAGACACCCAGAAAACCTGAGATTATAATTAGTGACACTATATATTATTCACGTTTCGATAACATAACAATTATGTCGACGCTATCAGTAATATCGATGTTGTATAGAGACGATGCATTTACTTTTTTCATAAAAATACACAGTAGAAAAATACTAAGCATAATACCTTCCATCCCTTGGGGATGTGAAAGCCGTCAAAAGTAGTGTCTCTAGAAGCACATTTGAAGTTGCCAAAAACTGGAGGAGTCAATCTCATAAGCTCTTGGGCCACTCTCCATGTATGCTTCATCATTTGGATTTCACTCCATGTAAGCCTTCCCTCATCACCACTTGCTTCCACAGCCTTTACTACTTCCTTTTGCTCTGTCAGCAATTATTTAAATAAATAAAAAATACTTAGGAGGTAGTTAGTTAACCATATATATGCGCAGTTTAAGTGATTAAAAGTATTCGCAATAACACTCGAGGTTTGTTATTTGTCCAATATTGTTTATATTAGGAAAGACAAAAAGGTGATATATACCAACCCACAATCTAATAAGTTAGTGCAAGTAATTTTATGACGTGACACTAATTGAATGAAATTAACAATTAATTAGCAAAGTTTCATTACCTTCAAGCACCTCACCAAAAGTCTTGGCGTCCGTAGAAAGATGTCTTAAAATGAGGCCGAGGAGAATTGCGGTGGTGTCATGGCTAGCAACTATGAGAGTGATGAGATTATCAAGAATCTCCTCCACTTGCAGGGGCTCGCCAGCTTCATCTCTCAGATGGAGGAAGACTGAGATGATGTCATTCTTCTGGGGGTTATTTTTGTCTTCCTCTACTCGTCGATTTTGCATGAGATTTATGAAGATCTTTGATATCCTGCCACGTGCCTGCATGGCTTTGTAAAAGATGGTCCCTGGAATGTTCAATGGAATTGCCCACAGACCCTTGGTTGCAATGGCAAAATCTTCAAGCAATGCATCTTTCTCCTGCCCTTCTGGAAGTCCAAAAAGCAAACTGCAAGTCACCTTGAATGTTATTTTCTTCATTAAACCCACCATTTGTACCAAATCTTTGCCATTGAGTTCTTGAAATTACAAATCAAAGTTAGGCAGTTATCTCTGAAAAATAAAAAAAGGATATACAACTTAATTCGGTGTTTAGAGCCAAAAATCAAGTTAACACCCTTCCTCATATACACCGTCATCTTACAAGTGTGCGTAGATGGTCAAATGCGGGCAAAAACTACAAATACAAAATTGGCAAGTGCGATATAAGCATGGAACTTAGTAATCAATTAAGAAGATAAAAATAAGTGTACGTTTTGAAGTATTTCGAATCTAAGACCTCCTAAAATTATAGTTATGTTAGCATGTTAATTAAGCTAAGTCACGTGACATTGCAATATGACATGCCAATATTTATCAACCTAATTAACTTTTGATCATAGTAAATTACTTTTTTGAAAGTGGTTTCAAATTCAAATTACCTTAAAGAGTTGTTGTTGGACGAGAGAATCCATTTCGTCCACAAATCTCTGAATGCTTTCTGGTTTTAAGAAACTCATCAGTCCACTCCTGACAAGCTTGTGCCTAGACTCAGAAAGCTCAAAGATGCTGTGCTTTCCCAAAATCTTGGATGCAGTTTCTACTTGGTTGCCTGCAATTCCATTGTCACTTCCACTGAATACAAACCGGTTACCGGCTTGACCCGTCAAAACCACAGTCTTAGAGCCCATGAGTGAGGTCTTGAATACTGGCCCATACTTTCGGATTCGGGTTTGGATCCACTCACCCGTTTTGTCCTGTTTTTGTGCCCTGATGAAGCTTATGGACTCTCCAATCAAAGGAAGTCCAAATGAACCTGGTGGAAGCTTCTTGCCTACAACAGGAAATGAGGCTTTGAACTTGAAATAATACCCAGCAAAAATGGCTATCAGGGTCCCCACAAAAACCGTGATAAATTGTATTGATGGTCCAATATTAAGCTCTGAAAGGACTTCCATTGTTAATGTTATACTTTGTCGAAGAAGATGGCATGTATTATATATGGCCTGAAGGATCGATGCAAATTAAGCCACATGTCTAACAATTTTCCTAACTAGGTATTTTTTTAATTGAGGGATTGTTCGAGAGTGCTTACTTCTGATTATAAGCGCTTTCGAACCTATAAACATTTTTTAATTTTTTCTGCCAAACATTGTGAGCTTTCGGATGTATGTTCAATTGATGTTGAAATTCTAATAAGCACACTAACTACAAGTTAATATTGTGATTTCATAGTTTAGGTATGGGAAAGTCCAAACTAGAAAGAGAGAAAAGAAAGAACCTTGCACTTGTAGTTTTGGTATGTTCCTAGAGGGTAAAGTTGTAGGTGGTTGCATTGGCCAGAGATATCAATGCAACTATGCCAATGACATTGTCCAAACTGTCACCGTTTTTGTCTTTCTTGTTTACCGTCGATAATAAGTGACGCCTTAATTGCTAATCATCGCAATGCTTTGTTTACATCACCGACGATCATCCAGTTAGAGGGCCTGCCTCAGTAGGTGACAGGATTACAATTGGCAGGATCTTCTATTATCTGAGTGGAAATCATGGCAACTTCTCAGCCCAAAGCAGTGCTATTGGGCTTTTGAAATACGAAGTTTCTCTGCAACTACATACATGAAATTCGTGAATTCAACTCAAAGATATTCGGTTAATTGTGGAGCAGCATGAACTATCCTTTTGGTAGCATCACAAGTCATTCCTCGAACTTCCCAACATGGGTGGCATATGAAAAACATAATCAAATGCAACATACCGACAACTAGTTACTAACACACCAAAAGTTCAGAATAACATCAGGAAGTACATGTTAAATAAATCCGTCACGGACATACGGTTTTTGGTGAGAAGAGTTCCGAATAATATCAGGAAGTCCATGCTCAAAGTAGTCAGTCCTGAGTGCAGCTAAGGCAAGGATTTTGTCTCTTAGCAAACCAAGGCAATATTAAGAAAAATGTACACACCCACAGATTCTATAACAGCAGTAGTCCGTACAAAAAAGAAACATTGATCCAGAAGTACTAAATGAATAACAGGTACAAGGTTAAACTAAATACATGTGTGCATAAAGAAGCATCACTGTCAAACTCAAATGCCTATCACATTGACATTGTGGATAACATGTTTTCCATCATACACAAGTACAAGAATTCTCTTTCCTTGGCCTATTTCTTTGATATCAATTTCGGTAAGCCTATTACTACCAATCATACTTCACCATATTGAATGATTATAGTCCAATTTAAGCAAACACAACCTCAACTAGCCTATTACTAGTTTCTGTAGGTGTTTTTATCAAGCATATCAAGAAGTAGATCACCAAACACTAAAGCCGAACTTCATTTTCACCTTCGCTACGTACCTTTTCCACATTGTATCATACCAAACAATAAAGTAATTAAATAAGGCTAAGCAATTTCTTAATTACAAATGTCAAACAAAAAACCTAATAAAAAAAAGATAGGTATATTCGAAACAAACAAAAGAACCAAAATTAAAAATTAAAAATTAAAAAATACAAATATTTTAAGGGTTTAGCCGTGCGGCTATACTATTTAAATATTCGAAAATATGCCGCGCCGATATACTACTTAAATATTCAAATATATTCAAAGCGTATCGCCGAGCTGCTATAATATTTAAATATTCCAAAATATGCATAGGGTATAGCCGCACGGCTTTACGACTTCAATATTCAAAGCTTATATCGGGCGGCTATACGATTTAAATATTCGAAAATATGCACAGGGTCTAGCCGACAGGCTATACTATTAAAATTTTCCAAAATATGCACAGGTTAGAGCCGTGCGGCTATACGATTTAAATATTCCAAAATACGCCAGGGTACAGCCGGACGGCTACACTATTTAAATATTCTAAAGTACGCACAGGGTATAGCCGATCGGCTATGCAAGTTAAATATTCGAAAATATGCACAGGGAATAGCCGTACGGCTATTCAAAAATATGGATAGCTGGAATATATTCTCAGAGTATAGCCGAACGGCTGTACTATTTAAATGTTCGAAATTAGTACCTGTGTATAGCCGGACGGCTATACTGTTTAAATATTGGAATATGTTCAGAGGGTGAAATTCCAGCTGGGATTTGGTCCTTGAATCGGATTAGATCACTGGATTTGTCTAATAATTTGTTAGAAGTTGAAATTCCATAGGCCATTGGAGGACTGAATAACTTGCGAGCAGTTAATTTGGGGAAGAATCGGTTTACTGGGCAAGTTCCAGATGGAATTGGAAGTTGCTTGCTTTTGAGGTCCATTGATCTCAGCGAGAATTCATTCTCTGGGAACCTTCCTCAGACAATGCAGAAACTTAGCCTGTGTAGCTATCTAAATCTGCACCAAAACTCATTTGCCGGAGAGATTCCTGAGTGGATTGGAGAGTTGAAGAGCCTGGAGACTTTGGACCTTTCTGGCAATCGATTTTTGGGCGAAGTTCCAAGTTCAATAGGTAATCTTCAGGCTTTAAAGGTGTTGAATTTTTCTGCAAATGGGTTCACTGGGAACTTACCCAAGTCCATGGCTTATTGCACAAGCCTTGTGGCTTTAGATTTTAGTAAGAATTCGGTGGCGGGTGAACTTCCTGCGTGGATATTCAAGGCGGGTTTAGAGGAAGTTTCACTTTCAGAGAAAAAACTAAGTGGAAGCGCAAATAGCCCTGTATCTTCCTCAATTGGAAATGCGCCTCAAAATCTGCAAGTCGTGGATTTATCCTTAATCAATTTTCTGGTGAAATTGCATCTGACATTGGGGTCTTAAGCAGTTTACTTAGTTTGAACCTCTCCGGTAACTCTCTTGTTGGTCCTATTCCTGTGACTATTGGAGAGTTGAAGGCCCTGGACAATGTGGATTTGAGTGAGAATCGGCTCAGTGGAAGCATCCCTCTGGAAATTGGTGGGGCTTTTTCATTGAAGGAATTGAGATTGGAAAATAACCTTCTCACGGGAAAAATTCCAACTTCAATAGGGAACTGTTCTTCTCTGACCACTTTGTAAGTTCTCTTAGCTCTACAATTCATTTCTTGTCTCGTGTTTTTTTTAATTTTAACGGGTAGTTTGGGATTCACGCACGAATCCAGGTTTCATTTAAACATTTTGGATACTTGTTATTGGGAAATTCTGCATTTACCTTAACCTAGAACTGAGAACTAATTTGCACATAAAACTTTTCTTTGGCTCATTGTCGAAATGGATTCATGTGTGTTTGCACTTAAGAAGTCTACTTTTACATAGTATCTTTAAATATTATCTTTCATGTTGTAGACATTTTGGTCATACTGGGAAGTGAGAACTTCAAGTACTGCAATTTGATTTCGAAGTACAGAGATATATTTTTCTGTTGTTTGAGATTGTTTCATGTTAATGAATTGCATACTGATTTTCTGGGAAGTAATGAAGACGTGAAATCTCTTGCTGCCACTTTTGTTTGATGATAACGTGTAATACCACATTAGTCTGGATTTTTGCTATCTCCTTCTTGAAAACTAGCTCAAAGGTTTCGTTGTCACTAATTTTGTTATGGGGTTGTAATCCAAGTCCTACTCCATTTTATCATTCTAACATATTTTTCTTGTTTTTTGATATGTTCTTTCGTTTGAATTCTCCAGAATTACATCACAGAACAGACTGACTGGCCCAGTACCTGCAGGAATGGCCAAACTTACCAACTTACAAAATGTGGACTTGTCTTTCAATAACCTCACGGGAGGCCTACCCAAGCAGTTAGCCAATCTTCCCAACCTTCTTTCCTTCAATATTTCCCACAACAACCTCCAGGGTGAACTACCTGCGGGCGCCTTTTTCAATACCATCTCCCCTTCCTCTGTCTCTGGCAATCCATCTCTTTGTGGCTCTGCAGTTAATAAGTCTTGCCCAACAGTTCTTCCGAAACCCATTGTCCTCAATCCCAACTCCTCTTCTGACTCCACCACACCAGGAACATTATCTTCAAATCTTGGTCATAGAAGAATCATCCTTAGTATTTCTGCACTCGTTGCCATTGCTGCAGCTGCTGTCATTGTCATTGGTGTGATTGCCATCACTGTACTTAATCTCCATGTTCGATCTTCTACAACTCATTCACCAGCAGCCCTCGCGTTATCAGCTGGGGATGATTTCAGCCATTCCCCAACAACAGATGGCAACTCCGGCAAGCTTGTCATGTTTTCAGGTGAGCCTGACTTCAGCACTGGTGCACATGCTCTACTCAACAAGGACTGTGAGCTTGGTCGTGGAGGGTTTGGAGCAGTCTATAGGACAGTTCTTCGAGATGGGCGGCCTGTTGCAATCAAGAAGCTCACTGTTTCAAGTCTTGTCAAGTCTCAAGAAGAATTTTAAAGGGAAGTTAAGAAATTGGGGAAAGTGAGGCACGATAATCTTATGGAAAACGAAGGCTATTACTGGACTCCATCATTACAGCTCATCATATATGAATATGTCTATGGCGGTAGTTTATATAAGCATTTTCATGATGGAGCAGGTGGAAACTTCATGTCATGGAACGACAGGTTCAATATAATTCTTGGAACTCCAAAAAGTTTGGCTCATTTGCATCAAATGGAACATTATTCACTACAACATAAAATCTAGCAATGTCCTGATCGGCAGCTCAGGCGAACCCAAAGTGGTAGACTTTGGCCTAGCAAGGTTGTTGCCAATGCTTGACCAATATGTTTTTAGCAGCAAAGATCCAGAGTGCCCTTGGCTACATGGCGGCTATACGATTTAAAATTTCCAAAATATTCACAGGGTGTAGCCGCGCGGCTATACTATTTAAATATTTGAAAATTTGCAAAGGGTAGCGCCGTTCGGCTATACTATTCGAAAATACGGACAGGGTATAGCCGGCCGGCTATATAATTTAAATATTGGAAAATATGGACAGGGAATCGTTGATCGGCTATACTATTTAAATATTCAAAAATCAAAAATATGCATAGGGTCTACTATTTAAATAGTGGAATATATTCGCAGAGTATAGCCGGTCGGCTTTACTATTTAAATGTTCGTAAATATTCACTGGGTACAGCCGGCCAGCTATACTATTAAAATATTGGAGTATATTCGAAGCGTATAGCCGTACGGCTATACGATTTAAATACTCGAAAATGTGCACTAGGTATAACCGCACGGCTATAATATTTAAATATTCGAAAATATGCACAGTATATAGCCGCCGGCTATAGGATTTAAATTTTCGAAAACATGCCCTGGGTATAGCCGGTCGGCTATACGATTTAAATATTCGAAAATATGCACAGGGTATAGCCGTTCGGCTAGACTATTTAAATATTCGAAAATACGCACATGGTATAGCCGCACGGCTATAAAATTTTCAAAAATATGTCCAGAGAATGGCACTAGGTATAGCCGCGCGGCTATACGATTTAGGGAATTCATCGAACAAAGGAAATTTCCCCTTAGCCAATAAACCAGAGACATAAGCACACATTGCAGATTCATTGTCTACCTCTGATTTCTTCTCCACAAACCCTAAACCCAACTCAGAACTCTTCAAGCCCTTACCATTTTGGCAAGCCTCTTCATCAAAGATGCTGCTTTTCCTCCTTTCACTGCTGGGCAAGCTGCACATCTGCTTCCTCCTCATTTGAGTCGGAGATTTTCATTTCTTTCTGATCCCCTCTCCAATGGGAACCTCCTCTGTGCAGGCACATGAAGCTGCATCAGAGCAGAAAGCAGAGACCCCAAAGTAGTGTCTTGCAGTTCATGAAGAAGATGAGCATAACAGCCATGGTCCAATTCACCTTGCTCAAAAATCAGAGCTGTTTAGTACTCAGCTATGGCAGTTGGGGCATTTCGGTTAAATCTCACTTTGTCCTTCCACCACTCTCTCAAGCTATCAGAGGACCCTGTCACTGGCTTCCCCTTCTCAGGCACAATCCCATACACAAAGCCCTTTCCTTTGCAAACCTCCATGATTTTCACCATGTACTTGAGTATTGAATCTTGGGATCTTGCCATTTTCTTCCGACGAGACGCCTGTTGTTTGCCAAGGTCTTGGCTTCAAATATTAAACTAAAAAAATAATAAAAAATTAAAATTAAAAAGAAATATAAATATTTAGAGAGTATCGCCGATCGGCTATATTATTTAAATATTCGAAAATATTCACATGGTATAGCCGTGCGGCTATACTAAATATTCGGAAGCACCCGCAGGGTATAGCCGGGCGGCTATACTATTTAAATATTCAAATATATTCAAAGCGTATAACCCTATTCGAAAATACACAGAGGGTATAGCCGTACGGCTATATAATTGAAATATTCGAAAATATGAACAGGGAATAGCCGGTCGGCTATACTATTTAAATATAAAAAGATATGCTTTAGCATATATTCGCCGAGTATAGCCGACCGGCTATACAATGCTAATATTCACTGGGTATAGCCGGGTGGCGATACTATTTAAATATTTGAATATATTAAGAGAGTATAGCCGCGCGGCTATACGATTTAAATACTCGAAAATATGCACTATGTATAGCCGTCCGGTTATACTATATATATATATATATATATATATATATGCCAGCTTGACCCGTCAAAACCACGGTCTTAGAGCCCATGAGTGAGGTCTTGAATACTGGCTCATACTTTCAGATTCGGATTTGGATCCACTCACCCGTTTTGTTCTGTTTTTGTGCCTTGATGAAGCATATGGACTCTCCAATCTGTGGAAATCCAAATGAACCTGGCGGGTGTTAAAGTTCTATTTAGCACAATAACTGCAAGGTAATTTTGTGATTTCATAGTAGCCAGCCATAACTTAGAAACTGTGCTACCAGAAGAAATTAACTAGGGGAGGTAGGTAGAAGGAATGGTTGTTTCAAGCTTGAATTGTTGAACACGTGGGTAGATGGAGACCATCCAATATTCATTTTCAGCCAAATCGAAAATGAAATAGGATATTCTTTTTTCATATATGCCCCTAGCCTGTAATATAGGACGGGTTCACTCACAACAAGGGAGCTTGTTGAACAAAATTTGATAAAGAATAACAAAGATACCATCTTTGGTGCCTCACAAACCAAGTGACTTTCTTGGTGTGACTGTTTCATATCAAATTTCTTGATTTTTTTTTTTTTTCTGCCCTTAAATTTGGAGCCTCATTTTATAAGATTGAGAAAATCTATCATATCACCGGTTGTATACAACGACTATGTGTGAGAATTTTCTCCACAGGACACCCCGAATTGTTTTTTTATGGCAATTAGCGAAGTGATGTGTCAATTGAAGACCCAATTTTATACAAATGAAACTCTAACTAAAATTTAAGTTGGAGAAAGTGAGATGTGATCACAAGCTTTCCAACCTTCCACTTGCAACACCTACCACCTGGCCAAGACTGGAAGGCATCGTCAGCTTGAACACCGCAGCCCAGGATATATAGAGGCCTAAACCTCATCTATATTCCCATTGTTTTCTCAGACAACATTTCTATCTACTTCCTTCATCTTCTCCATAGCTGCCTGCTAATCATACCCTTCAAAACTCACAGCCACACTAAGAGTAAGAGCTCTCTGTCTCTCTGTGAAATCACGTTGTTTTTATTTTTGTTGGGTTTTGTTCTTGAATTTAAGCATGACTAAATTTTTTATCTTTATGCATCACAGTGGGTACTGAAGTGGTATTGGTAGATGAAGTTCCTTTTCCTCCTCAGATCACAACCACCAAGCCATTGTCTCTGCTGGGTCATGGTAAGCCATTTTTGCACTTGCTAAACATACCATTTTTGTGTTTGATTAGCAAAAGAAAATGAAAAATTGCTAATGGGTAATTGGGTTTGGCAGGGATCACTGACATTGAGATACACTTTCTTCAAATCAAGTTCACAGCAATTGGGGTTTACTTAGACCCTGAAGTTGTGTCACATCTTCAACAATGGAAGACAAAGCAAGCAAATGAGCTTGCAGAAGATGATGACTTCTTTGGTGCTCTTATTTCTGGTAAAATTGCAATACCATACATCCCAAAAGTTGCAATCTTCAATTACTTTTTTCTAATCCCTTGATCAAATTGTGGATGCATGTAGCTCCTGTTGAGAAATTCCTAAGGGTTGTGGTGATCAAGGAGATCAAAGGGTCTCAATATGGGGTGCAGCTTGAGAGTGCTGTGAGGGATAGATTGGCAGCTGATGACAAGTATGAAGAAGAGGAGGAGGAAGCCTTGGAGAAAATTGTTGAGTTCTTCCAATCAAAGTACTTCAAGAAAGATTCCACCATCACATATCATTTTCCAGCAACTTCTGCCACTGCTGAGGTAAGAATCAAACTAAATAACATTGGTTTTGTTAAGGAAATATTGCTTTCAGCTAAATTATATATATTTTCTACTTATTTGTTTATATGTATGCAGATTTCTTTTCACACTGAAGGGAAGGAAGAGTCAAAAATCAAGGTGGAGAATGCAAATGTGGTTGAGAACATCAAGAAGTGGTATTTGGGTGGGACTAGAGGGGTGTCTCCTTCAACCATATCATCCTTGGCTAACACACTCTCAGCTGAGTTGACTAAGTGAGAGCATTTTGTTGTATGGTTTTGGGCTCTTTTTATGGGTTGCTGCTGTTTGCAATTGCAAGGGCTCATTTTGAAGTTTGTTAACTAGTGGGAAAACCTGGTGTTTCTTGTGCTCTGTTCTGTTTAATAAAATGAATGATACATATAGACTTCTGTCCATCCAACATCCAAGTTTTTTATGCTTATGGAAAATAATATTCCTACTTTCCCTTTTCTTTCTACATCTTTGCAACCTCAACTGAAATCAAGAAGGCCTTATCTCTTAACCGTTTGATAAAATTGAATAGCCATCGGAACAAATTAGTTAGTTTGATCCAACGTTTAAGATATAGGACTTCATCTAAGGCTTAGGTTAGGTGGCCCTCACTAGAAAATGACTCCAACTAAAATCTAAAATAGCATGTTGTAAAATGGGCTTAGCCTTTTGAGGACCTCAGAGGGCCCTAAGCCAATCTGTGTGTTCTCAAGGCCCAAATCAACTGATTGACATCTCTACTTGGGCCCTACTGTTGCAGGGCCTTGGCCAATTTTTAAACCACCAACCTCAATCAATAACAAGAATTTTATAACGAAGGTCATATATATTAAGTGATATATGACCCTTAAGTGAGGTGTTATCTTTAAATCGTTAGATCAAATTAGTTAGCTTGATTCAACGGTTAAGAGATAGAACCTCACCTAAACGTCTTATATAAGGCTCTCACTATAGAACGACTCCAGTCAATAGACTCAATTGTATATTAGCACAATGACACCTATCAATCATCATGCCACACTCTCATTTTAACCTAGGTACTTCAAATTTTTCTTTGTATTTTTCCCCAAATAAAACTTGCCTAAACTAACAAGGGTATTATAGCTCTAGGTGTGTTAGTTGGATCGATCCAGGTCTTGATGTGTTCTCATCTGGTACTGTGTTGAAGTCTCATGGTACATGTGTGTGTACTCCCCCTCCCTTTCCCCTCCCCTTAATTGATTGTATAAAAATAAAAAATGAAAAACAACTTGTCTAAGCTAGTAGCTACCTTGTGAATTTGCAATTACAACAAATCAAAAAATAAAATCAAAATGAAATATGTTTAAAAAGATGTTGTAGTAGAAGGATCCTTGAAACAAAAGAGGGGTGGAGGGGGTTGGAATTCTTCTTAATATTCATTCTCGCAAAGAAATCATATCATCTGCTATATTCAGTTTATTGTGAACCACAAGGCGCACTAAGTCCTTATAGTCCACAACAATCCAAAAATTCCAAGTTGGATTTGCTCTAGACCATTTCTGTATGCTCAAGTAGCTCATCCATGACGAGCTATATATGTACTGTATTGGTACCTTCATGTACCCTTTTATGATGTAGTAGTCATAGCTAGTGGGTGTTTTAGTGGACGCATATGGTTTAAACGGTTAAAATTAACTAGCTCTTGTTTTAACGATGCGTCTCGTCTCAATTTTAGCACATATCCTAAATTTGAATCCCCGAACCCATTAATTAAAAGAAAAAAAGATTCTACCAATAGAAGTTGCCACAAAGGATTGAAACATGGAACATGACTACATTAATTACTGCCTGCCCCAAAAGTCATAGTACACAAATATTGTTCCTCAAGCTTCCCTACA